TATAAGAGTGAAACAGAATGAGTAATGGTAGAAAGGAATATGAAAGATTACAGAGACTGAATACATCTGCGTAAGCCATTGACAACGATTTTGAGCCATGTCACCTAGTGTCTCCAGCCATTGATTCTTAGAGTCCCGAGGGCGGGCCCCAACCCGGAAGTCTGCATCTCCCTACCTGACTCAGTTTAACTGCATCTATATCAGCTAGTAATGCCCGTCGGCGGAGGCGATGGCTAGGCATGCGCAACGTGACCTAGACATCTCAATCTATGTAACTTTATAGCCTCTTCGATTGATTTTCCCTGTTTGCCCAGCACTCTACGCCTAACGTCAACATTACTTACCTTATTATACCACCTAACGTGAGAAAGAGATCGTAAACATCTATGATCAAAAACAGACAACCTTTTCATGTCTTCAACTCGTATTGGCCGTGTTTCAGAGCCATAGAGAAGGACGGAGCGAACTGCTGAGCAGTACACACGTCCCTTGGTTAATAGCCAGATGTCACGCCTACGCCAGAGACGGTGTAAGTTAGCGAAAGCAGCCCGAGCTTTTTGGATCCGTGCTGAGATTTCGTCACCAATCAATCAGTTGGTGCTGATACAACTTCCCAAATAGGTGAAGTGGTCAACATGTTCTATCACTTCACTCCCTATCACGAAGCTAGGAGTTGACGTAGTCCAGTCCTGTAGCAGCATCTTACATTTTACAGGGGCGAATCGCATGCCAAACATACGAAGATTGCTGCTCAAGGTGTTCAGAAGACTCTGCATTTTGTCAGCATCCTCCCCTAACAGGACTATGTCGTCTGCATATTCTAGGTCCATAAGACTATTCCCTGGTAACAAGTCGATTCCTAAGTCGTTAAGTTCAGTTAAGGATACTTCCATTAGCATATCTATGATGAAGTTAAACAGAAAAGGGGAAAGTGGACATCCTTGACGGACACCAGTGGTGTCCACTTGATTTTCACTTGATGTGCACTTGATTTTCAACCAATGAGTCCTAGATTCGATTACTGCTCCACTTAATTTAGCCTAAGCAAGTGGGTAGTGTTATCAGCCCTGACATACATAATAAGCGTCGGTTATAGTCTGTTCTGGATAAGCCAGTTCGAACAAAAGATATTCTCAATGTTGAATACCATTTGAACGTCAAAGAAGTAAAGTAATTAAAGATAATTTTTTGAGAAAAACAAATTAACCAATGAGAAAAAAACGCAGTTCGAAGAAAAGAAAGTGTGACTCAACTAACACAGGCATATAAATGCCATTGGCAGTGAGTCTTAACAATATTTATGGGTTGATTTTGCTATCAAGCTATCTAAACCTTGAGACATGGAATGAGGTTTGAATTCGTGACATACTGTTACTTGGACGATTATATGGTATATCCCTTTTATGAAGTGGCACCATCTTTATCCGATGGTGATTAAGGCGTTTCAATAAATAAACCGAAATTCACTAATATACGATTAACTTTTGAACTTACCGCCTTCTTTAATCCATTACAATGAGCAGATATCAGTATCAAGTAACATTTTCTGATACAAGTGCAGCAAATGTAACGCAGTTCAAGAAAATAATACCACCAGTAATGTGTATGCCAAAAAAGAAATTTTCCAGTGCAAAATTTTATTTAAAAAGCCCTCAAAAATAATAATAACTTGTCGTTAAACCACCATAGCAACGGACTAGGAGGCTACAATCAGCGGAGATATACAATAAAGCCATCGGTTTTACTTTATGAAGACATACAAGACGGTGTATTTAATAGAATATATCATCAGATAACACCTTACGGTCTTACTAAACTTAAACTAATATCCATAAATGCAAGTGATCTAGCTAAATTCCAAATACAAATTAAAAGTCAACACCACAACCACCACCTATGCTTTATTTGAAGACACTTTCATTTGCCTACTATAAATTTGTAGAGATACAAAACATCATACACTATCATGACACTGATTATTTAATGTTACAACAATTGACAAGTGGACAAAATACGAATTTAACTACCCGATAGAACACAAACTTGCCTACAATACACACACACGCATACACACGAGTAGACAGAGTTTATCATTTTCAATTCTTTACATATTAACAGATAAATAAAAAAATGAAATTTATCATCTAGTGTAGTTACATGCTTGATGGTGGCAAGCAGTGAAGTGTTTTGCTAGAAGAACACACAGCAAGGGGTATGGAGCCAGTAGTGGGTGCAGTATAATTCCTAACATGAAGAGTAAAGTAAATTACTTCACCAAAAGTGAATTTATTTGAATAATGACAATTTAAAATTATTTGCAATTCATTCCAAAACAAGATATTTAAGTTTTTGATTTACTTCTAATAATTTATCAGTAAATTTACAGTATTATTGTTGCTATTCATTCATTAGATAATCTGAGATTGTTTTACGTTGACTTGTGTTTCCAGTTGAATGACTGTTCTCGGCCAAAATGTCTGGTCACTGTTTAATATATCCACCTCTGCAACGATGCCTAAGGGGATTAGTGTGAAGTTATTTTGGTTGATGGTTATTAGCAGTGGTAGAATCCAGTATGTGCATTTCATCCAATATGAGCTCATCATCTGGATGTGCCTGCATTTCCAGTAAGTGATAGCAAGAGTCAAACCTTAGACTTATTGTTTCCAGATTCAAAGCATAATACACGAGGACCACGAGAGCCAGCCACCTTTTATGCAACGAATGTCAGTTATTACTAGTTATTAATCATATTATAATAGTAATGCCAATAATATTTCATACAATGATTCCCTTTTATAAATTTAAACAAAGAGAGAAGAAACATTGGCGCAGAATAATCTGGATCCATTTTATTTCGTTGGTTCTCGTCAGCTGCGTACAACCTGAACTTTTGTTATTAAAAATAAATAGTGTACAATTTTTTTAACAAACCTTTGTCCATTAGCAAGCATAGTGTCAGAGCGTCATAGTAAAATAAGGCATTGAGATTTACAGGGTGTCTAAAGTGTCACGACATGTATATATATATATATCTTGGTAGAGAGAAGTTTCTTGAAAAAAAAAATTAGTTAACAGTTGTGTTGTTAGGGTGGTAACAAAAGACAATTAGCAATAGTTACGTAATTAGATAAGAGAAGATCAAAATTTTTAAAATTACGGTGCACATGAGGTCAGATGAGAAGTTGATGATGTAATACAGTGAGCAGAACTCAGAAGATCAAGAAAAACTATCTCTTAAGAGAGTCAAACGAAACATAAAGGGGAAGGGTGTTGTGAAAAGATAAGTTAACAAAATTAGAAAACAAAGAGTTACTAAGATGTCAGTTACCAGGGTAATTGAAGTCCAACAACGGAATCCGTCGTTGGACCCTGTAAATCTCAATGCCTTATTTTACTATGACGCTCTGACACTATGCTTGCTAATGGACAAAGGTTTGTTAAAAAAATTGTACACTATTTGTTTTTAATAACAAAAATTCATGTTGTACGCAGCTGACGAGAACCAACGAAATAAAATGTATCCAGATTATTCTGCGCCAATGTTTCTTCTCTCTTTGTTCAAATATCAATAATAAGTGATGCCCGTTGGCTGTCGTAGATAATGTTATGGTGCATGAAACGAAGAGTGCAGAGTTCGAGTTTCAGTGGAAATGCAGTCACTCTCTGAGAATGCGAGTACATCCAGCTGACGAGTTTACATAGGACGAAATACACAGCCTTAATTTAGCCGAATTAATTTGGAATAGTTTTTCGTTAACGGATCGGGGGGTTTTGATAGAAACTGAAGAAAGAAATGTCAATTGTAACAGAGTGTCTACGTCTCCTTTCAAAATCAATCTCTGTTTAAGTCTATGTATAAACAGTGTTAGTGGTATGTTTAAAAAGGGGGTAGTTCATATTATGACTTGAAATTAGAAGGTATTTAAAAGCTTTTATGTTCACTTTATAAGACTTCTTAACAAAAGCTTCATTTCTTTTTGGCGCACTAAACTACTAAGAGACGCTGAAGATTTCCTGTTAGCATATTTATGCTTTCTATAATTAAACTAACACTTAATGATTGACATTTTAAGTTTTAGTCGAAAAGTAGATTAAAATTTTGACATTATGTACTTACTTACTTAATATATCTACTTTATGAGCATGCAGAAGTGAAAGTACACCGCAAATTCACTCGTTATACATACATGGATACAAAAAAATAATACAGAGTTACAGAAATTCATAAAAAGCCAATGAGTTAAATATTATTCCATTCTAGACTTCATCCTCTGTGGATTAAGTTAAGTTTGCAGTTTAATTCTGTGAAACATCAGATAACAAGTACACTTCTAAGTTCTCTTGTGTTCTTCTCTCTGCAAACGATTTTGTAATACTGTTTAATAGTGATGCAAAAAGGATGAATCATCTTAACCATAGACAGAACAAAGACGGCGTTAATCGGTGTGCCGAATGAAAATCAATAAGGATGGAAAAGCTGGTGAAGAGTTCAAAACTAGGACGAAACAACTATCCAGTACTCTCAGGTTTTCCAATGGTTCTCTAACCGATGTCAGATTATGATAAAATCCTGAAACCAACACTTGAATATCAATCTGATGCTCACTAGCGACTGGCTATATTCAGATAGGTAGTTAACTGGCTTCTAGTGAGAAGTCATGACCAGTGACTAGCTGACGAAACAGCTGTCCAGTACTCCCCGGTTTTCTGAAGGTTCTCTAACCGATGTCAGCTAATGATGATATTCTGAAATATCCCCAAATTGTTGCATAACCATTACCCAAACTAGTACACACCCATCATTATCATGGTAGTTTGTTTCAAGGAATTCCATAGTCCTACCGCCAGTTAGTATTCAAAAAACGAAATATCACTTTGACATACCGTCATCATTTACTGATATATATAGTGTATACAGGCAGAAAAGATAATTATTAAGAATAAATCAGGTGAAAAAAATGTTCATACAAAAGAAAATCTTTCAAAGAAAAACCTACCGGAACGCGAACACCTGATGAACCATTTGATTCTGTTTGAACTTGATTTTTCATAGAGTCAACGCATTGCTTGAATTGATTAACAAACTTAATGCACAAAAAAAATGGACAGACGATACTACTTATAAGTATTGTAGTAAAGGAATATGAAAAAATAATTAAGAGACTATGAGTTAAATGACTGAAGCTAAGTCGTCTAAGCTATTTACTTGGTTTTACTGAATGACTGCTCGAAATCATACTTTAAATGCATAGGTTAAGATCATGTATAGGTACAGTAAGACGGATATGAAAATTGATGATCTGTCTGAGGCGGGGGGGAGGGGGCTGAATAAACGTAGACGAGAATCCGAGTTTCGCGTAGCGTTTCAAGTAAACGCTTCTAGTTTATTACACAGATAATTGAATTATGAAATGCAGTAGATAGGAGTGCTTCAATGTTGAATGGTTGGAGGCGATCAGGAGGAACACCTAGACTTAAGTTCGGTTCTTAATGGCGCTCCTGATGAAAGTGTGTCTGCAATCTAGATGAAAATCACATCTCTTCACCTTTATGCAGTAGAGATATTTCCTCTTCACCAGATATCCCATTTAAGTTCGGTTTGTGCTCATTATTTTTTGAGGTCTGTACTTCGCAACGAATATCCTTCACTCCATATGCCAACTTTTTTCAAACCAATAAAATTGAAATTATTTCGACCAATGAAGAATTCCAACTATTCCCTTTTCCAATTCGAACCAATCAGAATCAGGTAGAGGTATCAAGTAACTGATTATGAAGTTGACTGCTTTAAGTGTTCCGCGTTGATGAATTAAATTTATACTATACTTATTTTTTTTACAAATAATCGGTTTAAACCACTACCAAGCTTACTGATTCTACAGATAAATAAGGATGCAAGTGAAATGAAGCATGGCAAAGTAGCGCAGATCTCTTTATACCAGACTGTGAGTTACTTTAAATTTGCGGTAACCCATAATACTGTTCGATATTTTAGATATAGGTATTCAGATTGGATTTAACCTTTAGATCCAGGTTATATATGTCCAAACGAAGTTCACTTTTAACAGTTTGAAAAAATTTGGGCATTGGGTATATGATATTCATTATAATAAAGGTTTTTTGTATTTCCCAATGAATGAAAAACAAAACGATATTGTTTTTACTGACGTTTCGCTATTTAATGCTAATAGCTTTATCAAAGTATTATTAAACCGGAATTTACAAAATCTCAGCATATATATAACAAAGAGTTAAGGGGTGAGAAAATAGACTTAGGTCAAGTTAAAGGGACATATTGAAAGTAAAAATAGCAATGAAGATCACTAAACCAAATAACAAAGGTAATAGTACGTCTGTTATGATATCAAAATAAAGTTTACTAACTTGATCATCGTTCGTATGTCTGGGGTAATTTTTCACTTGTCAAGTTCGTCTATTGGTAAAGATAACAAAATCAAGTGTGGATTGTTGGACTTGATCAGTGTGCAAAATTATAAAAGTAGTGTGTGTTTACATAGTGAACTTGCTTATCACATTCGTGTTGATTTTGTCACTTGATGGGGGAGGGAGGTGTTGTAACCAGGTCAGATTCTGTTTTAGTCCATCATTCCTATTCAGGCAATTTTGATTCCACTTGACAAAATCAACACGAATGTGATAAGCAAGTTCACTATGTAAACACACACTGCTTTTATAATTTTACACACCGATCAAATCCAACAATCCACACTTGACTTTGTTATCTTTACCAATTAACCAACTTGACAACTAAAAAATGCCCCCAGACACGAACGATGATCAAGTTAGCA